TCTAGTTACAATATGCAATATATGCTCAAATTATAATCCATAATATTTCCAACTCTCAAGTTTTCTGTTAAAATCTTGTAGAATCTTCGAAGGGATCGAGTCTTGACTTATGATCAAATGGAAAATGTACATTTTAAAGTTACAACAAAGCAAATTACACAAAGAACATCAACAGCTTCTGAATCGAACCGTGGTCTCTCTTTTTTTGTCGGTATGATTATGAAACCCAACCAATACAGCATATAACATATTATTTTAGCTAAGTCTTTTCTTTGTTTCTCTTTATTTTATAATCAAAGTAATGAATCGAGATAAGTGTAGTCTCTGGTTCGACCATACTCCAAGAGACTACCATAAGTCCGGTCCCAAACACCGATGAAGAGAGATTCGGTATCTGGACTAAACGAAATCCCTGAAATCTCTCCAAAGAAATCAATCTCTTGCTCCTTTTTGTAACCTGTTTTTGTGTCATAGATATGGACGAAATCCGCTGGCTCGGCCATTGCAATGTAATGACCGTCCGATGTGAACCTGATGGACCGGACCGCTCCGAGGTTGCCTCTTAGAACAGCGACTGATTCTGAGAGATTCCTCGTGTCCCAAATTCGACAGGTCTTGTCTTGGTTTCCCGTGGCAAATGTTACACCGTTCGGATGCCAAGCCGATGCAAAGGAATAATCTAAGTGACCTTTCAGCGTCCCGACCGTCTGAAACAAAACTCAAAGCCGTAAGATTCCAGGACCTAAACCGGAGTAAATAGACGGTACCGAGAAGAAGAATGTTAAAGTACCTGTCCGTTACTTGAGTCTACCAATAGACCATTTGGGTCATCTCCAACAACTGCTACAAGTTTTCCATCAGGACTTAGGGAGCTATGCTGTCATGGTTTAAATATAATAATTTTGTAAGGGAGTTTCCTTTATCCGCACAAAAGCTGGAAAACTGAGAAGTTAAGTGAGCCTACGTTGACGGGCCAGAGATAACGGAAAAGTTGGACAAGCTGATATCTCTCCATGTCAAAGTCTCTGACTCCACAGTCATTATTTGAGGCCATGAAATGAAGTGCGCCGCTATAAAGACCAAATAAATATTTTCAGTTTCTGTTTGTCCTATCATCTAAACTTAAAAGTCCAAAACCACCAAATTAATATGAAAGGCGAAGAGATACCTGGAGTTTCTGTATATATCTACTGCATTGGTGATAGCATTTTCGGTGTAGGTTGTGCGTGAGCAAAAGCTTATACCAGGTCTGTCAAGATGCTGGATGCAGAGGAAAAAAGATGTCACGAAATCAGAACATGAATATGTAACTTATTTTTGGCATTTGACATCTAATAGTAAAACAGATCTCACAACAGTTGGCTAAGATACCGAGTTCGCTATTAACCTTAATATCGATTCAAGGCCTCTGAACTAACCTTGCAAATGAGTTCTCCCTGAAATCCACCAGCAACAAGCAGCCTTTCTTTTACTGCAAGAGTGCTAACTTGAGTCTCTGTAAACCCCTCCAACAAACTCTCAGGATGTTTCTGAAATATATGGAAAATCGACTTTAGATAAACCCAACAGAAATGTAAGGAAATCCACAGTCAAATTAATCAGATGGTTGATAAGGCTTGAGACACGAACCTCGGATGGAGCCACATGACCTTTAACGTTCAGAATTTCATTCCTGCAACCTGTCAAAGAAGACCAGTGGCTGATGGAGTAGTTGGACAACAGGTAAACATCGTGTTTAGACGTAGCCCATACCAAATTCCTCAACTGCAACAAAGAAGAGAAAATAATTTAGCCTAACTAAACATCAGTTTTCCATCAAGCTATGGTTCCATCAGCAATACTAGCACGGATGATGTCTACATTGAAATTTCGCTCATCACAATAAAAACAAAACTACCAAGTTAAATTTACATGATCCAAACAAAGAAGTATATTGTTGGAAGCATAACAAAGAGAGGGTGAAGTGTAGTGGTGCGATTGACAAACCTGAAAATGAAGAATTGTTGATCTCACTGATCTCGAATTCCTCCTGAACGTATAGAAAGAGCCGTCTTTTTCAGTATTCATGCAGCTCTGGTTTCAAATAGACGAAACTAGAGTGAGAAAAGAACAGCAAAATTATAAATAACCATGGCGATGCGTGATATATGGAACTCACCTTCTCAGATGCCTCGCCTGAATTGGGGACATTTTCATAGTTTTTATACTGTTCTAGCCTAGTTTTTCTGTAGTCTTTTCTAGTAACGCTAAGTCTATCCCACGGTATACCCTGAATGTCCTTTCCATTCCGAGCTTGTGCAGCAGAAGTATCTGCAGCCTTGTTCTGAAACACGTATTTGAGTGTTAAAAATACACACAGAACAAAAAAAATTGAACAAAGTCAATCAGGGGTATGACAAAAACAGAGGAACACAAACCAATTGGTCGAAATCTTCAACTTCGGAATCGGATGCATCGATATCCCTTCCATCGAACTCCGCATTCATATCGTCCTCGAGGTCATCCATGTCGTATTCATCGGCCATATATTCATCTTCAGGTTGATCACCATTGTTGTTATCAGACATGGTGAGATCAAATTTGGAAAATTCTCAATCACAGAGATGAAACAAGTTCCATTAAACAAGGGAAACAGAACAAACCAAAGTCAGCCATATCGACCTCGAACATAAACCACCCAATTCTAGCTTACATACAACCTGCAATAGTAAATACAACCATACAAATCTCTGAGACTAAGATCATGATAATTTGGAATATCAAAATTCACTCT